AAAATGGAAAATAATAGAATTCTATAATTAAATATAAGATTATCACCAAGGCGATATTAACTCTCTCTGTCACTTGCATACTTTAAAGCAGGTATCAAAGTCACGTTGTGACGGCATCACATGCTGTATTGGGACTCCCCCCCCTTCACTAAACCGCATGTGACCAGCGGGTGACACATCTAGCCCATGGGCCAGGAGTTCGACAGCCCTGCTTTAAAGGTTTCCATGCATTTTGAAGTGGCAACCGAGACTATCTTGTCAAATTCCCTGTCCCAAATAAGTAGTCCTCAACTTCTGATCATTTGTTTAACAATCATTCAGAGGTACAGTAGTGCTGAAAAAAGTGACTTACAACCAGTCCTTGCACTTCTGTCTATCGCACTGCTCCCCCCCCCTCAAGTCATGTGATCAAAGTTCAGCCGCTTGGGGACTGGCACATTAGGATGGTTACAGAGTTCTGGATCACCATCTGCAACCTTGCTAGGGAGCTTCCCAGAAGCAAAGTCAGTGGGGGAAGCTAGATTTGCTTAACAACCACGTGATTCATTTAATGACCACAGCATAAAAGGTTGTAAAATTGGATGCAACTCACTTAACAACTGCTTCATTTTATGATCCCAATTGTCACCGTACGTTGAGGACTACTTTTATCACTTTCAACAAGATCACTTGAAATTTCCCTCTGTTTCTCCTCCTGAACAGTAGTGCTCGGACAACAACTTCAACACTGACTCCTCGGCAACCTTAAGCAGGAACACAAACATGGACAAACTTTTTATCTTCTGCTGGTGCAATAGGATTATGGATCGTGTTGGGGCCAATGGAAAATTATACAGTTCAGATAGGAACAATTGCTTTTGTAAAGACAGTAAAATTGCCATTTCCACGCACTTGACTAGAGTAAGTAGCCTAACTTTGGACTACATCTTATTGAATATTTTTGATTATTTGATACTTATCAATGTTAGCAGGACGATGGTCCAAAATTGTTTTCATTATGTTTCCCATCTTGGGATAGGCACCATTAAAAAAAATTGCTTTGCTCCTTGTTCAAACTGGAGGAACTAAAGAACAATAGCCCCAACTTTCCTTAGAAAACACATTCGGTCAGATTGCCTTTCTCAAGCATCAAAAAGCACCTGGGATATTTAAAGAGAAAGTGGATTTGAAGATAAAGATTGGAGATGGAGTATATTGCAATATATTTAGCTCACATGTGGCTGTGATGTGTCAATTGTGAGTTACTGACTTGGGTTTGTGTGTCTTTTGGATTCTTACCAAATGCCTACTAAGAACATCAGGAGCTGCCAATACTGCACAGCTGCATAACTTTGACTTTTGTGTCAAAGTTATTGGATTACTGCCGTTAATATTCTTAAAGCTAATGTGTTACACTGAAAGAGAAAATACCCCTTAAATACTATAAAAGTTGCAGTGTTGAGCCCATCATCAGTTATATACTAATATAATGTATTTTAGGCTTGTGGGATGCTCATCTAATATTTTAAACAAATAGTTCTTTAATACTAATACAGGAATCAACATAGGATGCTACTTAAT